TATTTTGTATAAATGAGTCCCATATTTCATTATACTTGTCCACACAAGTCTACATCTATAGGCAATCAGTCACTACATTCAGTGTTAAAAAACCCAAGGGTACAACTGAAGTTTTTGGCATCCCAGTCAAAGCTTCATCTCATATATCCCCGATCTTCAGGATCCACAAAAATCATATTTGGAAATAATAATTCTGAGTGGAGTAAATACGTTTACTGTTAGAAAAGGAACTTAGTACTCAAGTAGAAAGGCTACAATCTCTAACTATTAGCCATGAATGAAGAGATTATTTCTCCATTCTGGCAAATATCATAGGATTTTTATACACATTTATTTGTAAAAAATCTGATATATAACTCACAAATTCATGAAAATATAACTTTATTTAAGGTTCATCTGAAGCTTCAAAATAGAATGTCTGCTGAATGTAACGAAGGAAGTAGCATACGCCAACCTTAACCTTGCTCTTAAACAGCTACCTAGATTTGACCAATTTTCCTTTTTCTTGGGTCGAGTTTGTTCCAATCCTCCCCTCTCAGGCACTTTGCTCCTGAGACCACCTTAGTTTTTGTTCTGGATACTCCCTAACCTCCTTTTTCCCTTCAAGCTACCTTCTTTCTTGTCCTTAATTTCAGTTTGCAGCTCATCCAGCTTCAACTTCCTTCCCTTAGCCTATATTTCTTCCAATAATATTTTTTGTTCACTGTTTTATCTTTCTCCCATCCATTTTGATTTTACTCAGCTGTAGCCTCACTATCATGCACCAATATTTTTGTTCATACTTATTTGTACTATAGTAGAATTAACTGAAAATCACATAAACAAAAGCTGCCTGCTTAGATGGGCTTTTAATGTTGTGCTTTGCAGAGCTATTCCTCACTTAATCTCATCATTCTGAACTGGTTTGGGATAATAAAAGATAATGTCAGCAACAGATATTTTTCTAACACTAATATTCTAGTTACCCTGACAAACAAGTTCGGGAGGTCAAGATCGATTCACAAACAATTAGTGGTAAGAGATTAACCTTTTTTTAATTTGTACTTATATCTGTATTGGAGATAGTCGGAAGTCACTTTCCGTTTCATTTTTCATTTTGTTCTATTTTAGTTTTTGTCTTTTTCTTTTAGTTCTGTCTTTCTTTTCCATACTCTCTGATTTGTATTTTAACTGTGCTTTTTATATATCTTAATAAAATGTTTTTTTTAAAGATTGATTCACAAACATATTTCTAAATTCAGGCCAATATAGGCTAACAAAGCTTTTCTTTCTTCTATATTATAAGAACAGTTTCAAAACAGAAGAGGATACCTACGTCCATTCTTTAATGCAGTGTGCTGCTGTCAACACCGAGTTGTGATTGATTAACGATCCACCACATACATGAACAAATCCTTGGCCAAAGCGATAAAGCTGAAGACTAACTTGCCACGGCCACGCACCAAGCTGGGCGTCATGTCCACCAATAATCCGCGTCGCTGTTGCTATTTCATCCACGACCGGCCTCGTTCCGCAGTCTACGAGGCAAGAGAGACTTCCGACGGCGAGTTTCAAGGATTCCCCAAAACACACCCCTCGCTCAGCAGCAACTCGCGTGAAAGGAGGTGGTAAGAGCAGCGAAGCGGATCATGGGCAAAGCCAGCCTTTATTTTAAAGCAGAGGCACCCGTGGCTTGTGCCAAACGCAGGCAGCGTGAAATACACCCCCACCCTCCTATCCATATTCACGCAAACACCCCTTCCTCCCACGCAGCATCCACTTCTCTCTGCCCTATTCCCTCATCGGGATTTCCGAGCAAATCGCGAGGGCACCCGCTGCCACCCTGCCCGGGGAGCCGCTGGGGAAGTCTGCAGCAACCAGCCGCCTTCGAGGGCGAGCAGCCCCCGGCTCCGGGGCCAACGCATTTAAAACCTCCCATCAGCCGCGACGGGCGGGACTTCCACCCGAACACGTCACCCACCACCTATTACCCCCCTCGCGGAGCGGCAGCTAGAGAGGTTTGCGCACCAAACGCGGAGCGCTCTCGTGAGGAGAGGTTGTCGGGAGTTGTAGTTTCGGTGAGCCCTCGCGAAGACTGCAGGCGGCGCACGTGCCCTCCGCCGCTTGCTGGCGAGAGCGGTTGGACCGCGCTCCTTCGACGGCTTCCGCTTGTATGGCGCGTTCAGCCCTCCGCTGGAGAGGCGGGCTTACCGGTTGTAGGAATCACAGAGGACAAGGCTTTGGGTGGGGCTTCACTCAACAGAAAAAGCAGCGGAAATAAGGAAGAGACCAGCGCGCAAAACCGCCCCTGCATTGTCGGCCCGGTCCAGAAAGGAAAATGGCGACCGCCGCGCGCCCCGCCTCGCGCCCCTCAACGCCACGTGACGCTGGGAGGCGCCCACGGGCGCCGCGCGGCGTGGCCTTTGCGACGCGGCAACGGGAGGCCAGGCGGATGGAACTGGGGGGGGGGCGCATCTGGGATCGCGAGCGCCGCCCCTTCTGTCGGGTGGAGCGAAGGAAATAAACGGTTCGCAATTTCTGAAAAAAATAGGAAGGCTGGATGAGAGGGCTTCTGTCTGCATTATCTGAAAGCAGTTGCAGCCTCCTGGGAAGGGCTTTATGAGTAGGAAGATACTAACTGCAAGCTTTCCATGGCTGCCAGACAGAGCCAGTGTACAGAGAACATAGAGAAATCTGCTCTTTATATCCCACTTCAACACAGAGATGATAAACCAGCTTTCCCCAGCTTGAGTTGGTCTTTAATCAGACCTGTCCTGTGGGAATGATGGGAATTGTAAACCAAGTGTCGAGAGGACAGAAAGACTGATATGATGAACTGTTCAAGAGGTTCCTTAATCTTCTGGAAAGACTTCAGGAGATGCTAGTAGGTAAAAAAAACAAGAGAGAGCTGGTTGGTCTAGTGATTAAGGCTCCAGGCTAGAAACCAGGAGACCCTGAGTTCTAGTCTCGCCTTACGCACGAAAGCCAGCTGGGTGACTTGGGCCAGTCACTGTTTCTCAGCCCACAACAGCAGGCTTGTGCGACCAGCCTGTCAGTCAATTCCTGTTGCAACCATTAGGTTGATCTGAAAAAAAGCTGACCTTGCACTTGCAGGAAAGACACTAGGAAGAAAAAAAACCTAGGAGGTAAAAACCAAAGCATGAAGAAAAAGATCCATTGTACAAGCTGCCTTCCATTCCCTCAATCTGGAAATAACACACTTTTCTCTCCAATTTCTTGTTCCTTTTATTTTCCTACTACTGTAGTAGGAACTGTTTCTGTATTTGTACAGGCCCTAGGGCAGTGTTTTTCAAACTTGGCTAGGGAATTCTGAGAGTTGAAGTCCACACATCTTGAAGTTGCCAAGTTTGAAAAAAACAGCCCTAGGATATATATTTTCATAAACAACAAGAAACATGAAAATATATTTAGTGCTTGATTTTACATTGCTGTTCCTAAAATTGGGTTCTGATAAAGAATAATTAATTTTTGTTTCCTAGTATATTACGTACCTTAGTATAATTTAAATATATGTGGTTAGCAGCCACATAACTTGTTTTGGCAACATTTTGTTATATGCTCCCCTGGGCACTTTCCTTCGTGCCAGGGCGGAAACTCCTCCTGAGACAAACCTTTTGGACGCAAGGTGAGGGTTTTTTTATATCATTTATTGCAATAAGCGGGGAGAATCTGCACAATCGGATTTGATCTCCGAGGAGCCAGGTCCCGCCCCCCTCCCTTTTATACCCGGCTAGCGCGCCCGCCATTCCCTCCTCATTTCCCCATTGGCTGAGGTACTCGGAGGTGACATTCTTCGCGACCGCCTCTGTGATGTTTCCTAGCTCCTCCTATTACATACATCGCATGTTCATTATAATTAGCTCGTTACTTAAACGGGGTGTGTCAGTTAACTATTCATTGGTCTGTTACTCATGAGTTCATCCATTTGCGATTACATCAAAAAAAATTTTTAAAAACCCACTCCAGCCTTGTCCTTGCCTCCAGTTAGTTTGGATACCTCATCCCACTCACTTCTCTCAATTTTAAACTGGAATTATTTCATTTTTACCTGGCAGATGTCAATACTTCCACCACCACAAAGCATTTTTTAAACATTTGATTAGCGACCATGTCCAAGACGATTTGTCCCCAACCTGCCCCTTCAGGTCTTCCAATGGTGTACCAATCACCAGTGTATTGGTGTGTATCCATCCATCTTGCTGCTGGTCAACCTCTTCTATTTTTTCCTTCCACCTTTCCTTCCTACTTTCCTCACCTCTGTAAATAGTTCAAGACAGCTATGTTTTTGCATCTGTCTAAATATAACTTGAGCTTAGTCATTTGTGCCTCAAGTGAGAACTTTAGATTAATTTATTCTATGATTTGTTTGTTTTCTGGGCTGTTCATAATAGTTTCAGGAGCTTTCTTCAACATTAGAATGTAAAAGAATCAATACTGTTTCTATCCTGTTTCTTCAAAGTCCAACTTTTGCTTTCATAAGAGCATAACAGGGAAAACTTTCCTGTGCCATTCTGATTTCATTCCATTGGTTCCCTTTCATTGAGGTTCAGGACTTTAAACGATCCCTGGTGTTCTCCTTGAAAATGGCAGGTATATGCTCAATCAAGACCATATTGTGGAAACTGGCTAGCTCTCTTCTTCCACTTTAGCTGAACTTGGAACTTGAACATGAACAGTTTGTGATCTGTTCAATAGCCAGCCCCCAACCACATCTTTGCTGTTAAAGAACTCTTTCTTTGTACTCCATGTGGTGAAGTTCAGATATACAGGCATTGTTTTGGTTGTTTGAAGACTGTTAGCAATGAAGAAGTAATTGGATTCACAGAAACTAATACGTTTTTCTCCTGCTTTATTTACTTCCTAGGCCATACAGTCCAAGTATGTTTTCCTCCTTACTATTTTCAACTTTGGCGTTCCAGTTTGCAGCCACAAGCAGCTCATCTTACTTGTATGTTCAGCTCATCTTACTTGTATGATCTGTCGACTTCAGATTGAAGCCAACCATAAAACTCGTCAACCTCCTCTTCTGCATCAATGGTTGGAGCATAAACTTGGGTAACTATCACATTAAAGGGCTGTCCATGGACATTATTTGGTCATTGACTACATTGTACCCAAGTACTGTCTTTGCTATAGCTAGCTAGCTAGCTATTAAGAAGGAAATTTTTTTAAAAAATTGGGGCTCTATTAATACACTAAGTGCCTGGAATGCATTTAAGGCATCCATCTGGGGATCTATTATTGCTTTTCCTTAGAAAAAAGTCTCAGAAATTCTGATCTTATATAGTTGGAAAAGATGGATTCATTTAGAAATGAAAAAGATTTTATTCAGATGGGCCTAATATTATAAAAGAAGAACTGATGGAACCACTACTGAGGACAGTGAATGAAATCAAGTGACAACAGTACCAAGGACATGGGAAAAAGCAAAAGTTGGTTTACAAAGAAGAAAGTGATCTGAAGAAACCTCAATCATATAGATCTATTTCTTTATTGAACATTGATTATATTTACCACAGTATTAGCTAAACACACGAGGAAATGCATTTCTGAAAATATACTTACATGTCAGTCAGGTTACGTTCCAAAGAGGAAGATGAAAGACGACAGCAGGTTCTTAATAAATCCATTAGAATACATTAATAACAAGAAAAAGAAGGCAGCAGTAATATTTGTGGGGCAAATACATTTTTTGGGTGAAGAAAGTAAATTTCTAGAGGCTTCAGATGAATGGGAGCGCCTCAGTAAAATTGAAACATAAAAGAACGTGCAGCACCCTTGAAGCTGGTGTGAACTACCAAGGCATCTGTCTTGAAGGATGATGTGTTCTTCCTGGCATTTGGCACCTTGAACTGATTTGTTTCTTCTCAGTGGGGCTATTGTTTTCCTTGTAGATAGTGTCAGATTCAGCCTAGGAAGCACACACTGCTAGTGCAGAGCTGTTGGTCAGTTTCACCGCCTCAGGAAATAGGTGATTGAGGAAAGGAAACAAGGCAACCGCAGGTAAACCAGCGACTGGACGGGCAGTTAACTCGCAGCAGGGAGTCATCTAGAAGCGGCAAACTGGAGCGCAGCTGGCTCCCCAGGTGCCCAGGGCAACTCCGGCTTACAGTACACCAGGAGCGCAGCAATCCAGAGGCAATCAGTGGGCAATTAGAAACCAAATTAAAGCAGCCACTCCAACTCACCATAAGAAAAGCTCCAGAAATGCAAGGGCAAGGCATACAAAGGAAGAAGATTACAACATAACAGAAACCGATTGAATCTGCCATCAAGGCGAGGGGAAGGAAGATTGCAACGGACAGATGGCTAGCCCAGGGCAAGGGCAAGGGGCAGAACAGAGGGGTACTGTTGGTAAGGGGGGAACCCTATAAAACTATTGTAAGAAACCGTGCCAGGCCAATCCTGGCTTTGTAACCGCTACGCATTACGCCTGAATAAACTAGCTTTCGTCCGAGCCTGTGCCTCACGAGGTTTCTGTTCAGCAGCGAATGCAGTGAACCTTACAGATAATGGATAAATAGAGTGGCAGAAAGTAACTTGAGATCTATTACTTACAGTTGTAAGAAACAGTATGTGAACCTTTTGGAATTTCATGGTGTTCTGCATTAATTTGTCATAAAATATGATCTGTCATCTAAGTCAAGAATATTGACAAATATAATGTGCCTAAAATAATAACACAAAAACAATTCTAATCCTTCACGTCTTTATTGAACACACTCATTCAACATTCAAAATGCTAGTGGAAAAAGTAAGTTAACCCTTCGAATCAATAACTGGTTGACCCCCCCTTGGCAGCAATAATCTCAACCAGGTGCTTCCTGTAGCTGTGGATCAGACCTGCACATCGTTCAGGAGGGATTTTA